GGATTTTTTTAGATCTCCTCAAGTTCTATACAAAATAAAAACCATTCAGCAACTCATTCCTAAAATATGAAATTGGGAATTGCATAGCAAGGTGCTTAGTTTTTGGGAATCAAGCAGGCTTCTGAATTTTCTCAGTATGAAGTCTCTCCTTCCGAACTCCTTCCTGCATACATGGGTAAAGTAAAGTAAAGTAAAGGCCCTCCCGTTGATCATCGATTTGCTCGAGCGGGCCCAGTAACGTCTCCATTGGAGACTTTGTTGTTACTGTGTCTGGCATATCGAATACTCTCGGTAGCTTGCCGGGCTCATGGGTGTAGGAAGCAATTCTTTAGAAATGCCTTTCTTTGCTTTATCCATATGTATAGTGAACCATTCCTGGAAAATCTGGTCTCAATTTGGGCTTCTTTGCCTAATCTAAGGAGAGTTATTCAACCTGAGTGCCCGAGAACAGATGAATGGATAAAGAAATTATGGCACATCTATACAATGCAATACTATGCAGCTGTTAGGAAAAATAAAATCATGAAAAGTGCCTATAAATGGAGAGTACCATGCTGAGTGAAATGAGTCAGGGGGGCATGGTGCCGCCAGCAGGTCAATCTGTACCTGTGAGGCGAGTGCATCAGCAGCCTCATGGCACCTTCAGGCTTCCAGATACCCCAAAATTGCTGCTGTGCCTTTGGCCAGACCCCAAAAACTTGGGGCAAAGTTTACCAAGAAAGTAAACGGCCAAAAGTTAGGTATGTGGGAGACACACCCACAAACGACCTCGGGCTCAGCTATATAATTGGAGGCAAGGCCTCTTTGGTTCCTGATTGAACTGCTTAATGGACATGATCCCAGAGACTCAGAAACGAATCTCAGAACCCAGTGGCTTTAGGTAGAAATGCGTCTGGTCTCTGCAGTAGGCTACCGGTGCTGGGCCAACCCAGGGGGGAATAGGTTTCGTGCCTTGGCCTATTCCCCCTGGCGGCCCAGTGGCCACCATCCGTCTGAGGCCACTGGATAGTCACATTTGGGCCCCCAGTGACGAGACACACAGGGCCTCACGGGATGAGGGTGGAGCCGGCCTTGTCCTCCCCACCCCAACGAGACCCCAAGTCATCGCCCACGAATGGCCTCTCTGGTTCCTGATCAAGCTGCTTAACGGCCATGATCCCAGAGACTCAGAAACAAATCTCAAAATCCAGTGGCATTTGGCAGAAATGCATCCGGACTCCACAGTACGTTACTGTCGCCGGGCCACCCCAGGGAGGAAAGGATGCTGTCCCTCCGCCTGCTCCCTCTTGGCGACTTGGTGGCTGTCATCCTCCAGAGGCCATTGGACAGTCAGGCTTGAGCCCGCAGTGACAAAACTTGTTGGGTCTCACGGGATGAGTGGGGGAGGTGGAGCCGGCCTTGTCCTCCCCACCCCAACGAGACCCCAAGTCATTGCCCACAAACGTCCTCTCTGGCTCCTGATCAAGCTGCTTAATGGACTTGATCCCAGAGACTCAGAAACAAATCTCAAAACCCAGTGGCGTTTGGCAGAAATGCATCCGGACTCCACAGTATGTTACTGTCGCCGGGCCACCCCAGGGGGGAATGGGTGCTGTCCCTCCGCCTGCTCCCTCTTGGCGACTTGGTGGCTGTCATCCTCCAGAGGCCATTGGACAGTCAGGCTTGGGCCCGCAGTGACAAAACTTGTTGGGTCTCACGGGATGGGGGGGGAGGTAGAGCCGGGCCTGTCTTCCCCACCCCAATGAGACCCCAAGTCATCGCCCGTGAATGGCCTCTTTGGCTCCTTATCAAGCTGCTCAACAGCCATGATCCCAGAGACTCAGGAGCAGATCTCTAAACCCAGTGGCTTTTGGCAGAAATCCCTCCTGATTTAAGAGTTAAAATTTCAGAATTTCAAAACCACATGGCCCTACTGCAGCCACACGACATCATATGTTATTCATAACCAGCAATAGAACACAAATTGTCTACTGTTGCCTTTTCAGCAGATCTGAGTGTTGGGGTAAAATCTCAAATAATGGTGGGTCTGGTGTCGAAATATTGAATGTGATTAAAGTGGAGAGAGAGTAATGTGGAGATCATCTGCCCCACAGGCAGGGGGAGGGTGTGGGATGGGGGTATACTGGGATTTTTGGTGGTGGAGAATGGGCACTGGTGAAGGTACGGGTGTTTCATTGTATGACTGAGACTTAGACCCAAAAGCTTTGTAACTGCTCTCACGGTGATTCAATAAATAAAATTATAAAAAATGGAAAAAGAAAAAAAAAGAAATGAGTCTGAAGGAGAGGGACAGATATAGAACGACTACATTCATTTGTGGTATATGAACTATAAGTGTGTGTGGGGTGGGGGCAGAGGATAGCTAAGATAGGGAAGGGACCAGTATGACAATAATAGCTGGAAATGACCATGCTGGACAAGAACTGAGTGTTAAAAGTGTTACAGGGATATTCCTGGTAACTTTTCATATCTGTATTGCAAACCACAATGCCAGAGAGAGAGAGAGAGAGAGAGAGAGAGAGAGAGCCTGCCATAGAGGCAGACTGGGGGTGGGTGAATGAGGGGTGATGGGAGGGGAACTGAGGACACTGGTGCTGGGAAATGTACACAGGTAGAGGGTTGAGTGTTGGAATACTATACAACTGAAACCTAATCGTGAATAGCTTTGTAAGGGTCTATCTCACAGTGATTCAATAAAAATAAATAAAGTGATTTTCTGCCTCACAGAATAGGCCTGAACTTTTGGAGAGGAACTTAGTTTGTTTACCATGATCATATATAGAGTAATAGTCAAGACTTCTTTGACAATGAGTATAAAAACTACTCCCGGTGGGGAAAGGGAGGTGACAGGAAATACTGGCTCCTAAAACTTAGATGCCTGAGGGCTGATGTTGTTTCTGGACACAGGATTCCAGTTTGGAATCTTTTGTTTTTCTGTTTTTGAGCCACAGCAGGGGGTGCTCAGGGGCTACCCCAACTCTGTTCTTGGGGTCTCCTCCTGCTGCTGCTCAGGGGTACTGCATTGCTCGGAATCAAACATGTGCCTGCTGAACTCAGCCCTGTGAACTGTCTCTCTGATCCACTAATCCAGGATGTTGGAGGGCGGGCATTAGTTTCCATTCCATATCCAGGCAGAATACTATACTAGGCCTTGCCATCAAGTCACAAAGAATTAGAGCGATTTCTTTTTCTCCAAAAGGGACTAAATACCTAGGCAAGTTAAAAGGAAATGATGAATAACAGTTTCAAGATTGAGATACAAACATGTCCATGTTGTCATTCATCTGTATGCAGAATCCCAAGAAATCTTCAGACTTTGATAAGCGTGGCTCAACCAGCATTCCTGCCAAAGGTTGAAATGAAATAGAATGATAATTCTTTTATTTCCATTTTCTTCTCTTGTCTCACACCTTCCCCCTTAATAAATTATGACTGTTAGTTTGTTCATTCCAGAAACTGATTCTTGTTTTTCACTTTACCTGTACATTGAGGTTTAGTGTGTAGCAGCTAAGAGTATGGCCTCAGAAGTCAGACACTGCCTGAGATTTTTTTTTTAACTTTTATTAGTGAAACACCATGAGGTACAGTTGTAGACTTGCAAATTTTTGTGCTTGGGTTTCAATTATACAATGATCAAATACCCATCCCTCCACCAGTGCCCATTTTCCACCACCACAGATCCCAGTATCCCTCCCACTCTCCACCCCCCATCCCACCCTGCCTCTGTGGCAGGGCATTCCCTTTTGTTCTCTCTCTCCTTTTGGGTGTTGTGGTTTGCAAAAGAACTGCTTGAGCTTTGACCCTATTTTTGTAATTTTATGACTTTGAAATCTTAAGAATTTACTTAAAAATAAAAGATAACCTTTCATTATCTATGAAATGAAACTAGTATCTGCCTCACTGAGTTGTTTACCACACGGTATCAGTAAAATCAGATGTTGGTTTTTTTGTTTTGCTTTTTGGGTCACACCCAGCATTCATTGCACAAGGGTTACTCCTGGCTCATGCACTCAGGAATTACTCCTGGCGGTGTTTGGAGGACCATATGGGATGCTGGAAGTTGAACCAGGGTTGGCCACGTGCAAGGCAAACCCATGCAAGTGCCCTACCCACTGTGCTATCGCTCCAGCCCCCAAATCAGATATTGTTATTGTTATTTTCTGCCCCATATCTTAATTGCAACCTATCTGTTTATTAGCCAGGACTGGAAGACTGAAGTAAATCGGTATGCAGACTGTCAAAAACGAGCAAAATTTTGTTATCTCAGGATAGAGTTAAAGCCAGATTGTAGGTGCTCTCACTGCAAGACATTGGTACTTTCCTTTCAATGAGGACTTCCTGAATGACAGTGGACAATTGGCCTCTCAAAGTTTCATTTATACTTTTGGAAAATGAATAGTTTGGATAGGATTCTCACTTTCATCTTCACGATTGCCTGATCCTTAGTTTTTAGAATAAAAATAAGCATCAAAACAATGCTTGGTACTCTAGGTGTATGTGTCTGTAGGTCACATATGTATGAGAGAATGAGAGAAAGGGAAATAGTTATATTGTGATAATCCAATACGATTCACTTTTACATTATGCTTATCTGCTCATATATTTGGTGTCTTCTTAAGAGATAATCTTACTGTCTGAATAATTTCTAAGCATTTTTAAATCCTACCTCACACCTACTTTGGATCTCCAAGCAAAGTTTTTAGGCATTCGCTAATCCTTGTCTTGGAGCCAGGAAACTTGGTTGGGGCTCTGATCCTCTCCTTTCCTTGCAACATTACAGTTGCACGGACAAGTTACATTCCCTGTTTTGTGCCTTATTTTTGTCATCCAGCAAGGCATTTCTTCTACGTAACCTTTACGTCCTCTCCTAACAGTCTAGGATTCCATAACTATCACAGCATAGGTTGTGGCAGGAGTAGCTGGATTCCCAAGGGAACACTTGCTATCACCATTCCCTTTGAACATATTTTTTTATCTGTTGCCCATTATGTTTGCTGCAGGATTTCGGCTGAATGCCTCTTCTTGGCCCATGTTCCTTTTGAAGACGCTAAATGGAGCAGAGATGGCTCCCATCAGAATTTTTCACAAGGTATGGTGTCCCTCAGATATCACCAACTTCAAACTGCTTAAGATCAAATGCCTACATTCTTTTCATTATTGAGCCTCTGATATGCACATTATATTTATGACACGAGGATACTTTCTCAGAAACTAGTTTAGCGGAAGAAATTTTTAGTACTTTAGTTATTCCAGGAGAATAATAGTAGATTTCTCTGATTCCTGGTTTTGGGGCCTCCTCTCTCTGCCAATTATAAGCTGCACCTTTTTTTCACCTCCTCTATAAGGTAGGATTCTCTCTACCTTAGAGGGTTATAAAATTAAAATGTATTTATTAGTAAAACATAAAAATGCTATGTATGAGGAAGGTATTTTTATGATATGTCTTGGTGCTTCAGGCAACCAGTATTAAACAGAAAAGGGAAGATACACTGTTTTCAGTGTCTAAAGTGTATTTGGGACTTATATACACTACTTCATTTAATACTCACTGTTAGCATTAGAAAATAAGATTTTTATTTCTACTTACTAGTTAAGGAAACAAATCCTTTTTGAATGAAGAGCTTGCCCAAGACCACATGGCTAGTAAGAGTGAGAACAGTGATCCACAACCTGAGGCAGTCAAGTCTCTTCTCAGCTGAATGCTTTAATGAGTGAGGTTAAAGTTATTAAATAGGGGGTAGAATTAGAATTGCCTTCGCAAATTTGTAAGTCTAAGCTCTGAGAGCACATTAGCTCTCAGAATATAATGTAGGGCCAGAGCGATCGTACAGTGAGGAGGGTGTTTGCCTTGCACACAGTCAATCTGAGTTCAATCTCTGGCATCCCATATAGTTCCCTGAGCACCACCAGGAGTAATTCCTGAGTGCAGAGCCAAGAGTAACTCCTGAACATTACCAGGTATAACCCAAAATGCAAAAAAAAAAAAAAAAAAAGAATATAATGTAGTGGACAACTTAAAAACCCTTTAACTACAAAAGTCTCCAAATCCCAGCAAATATGTTTTATGTTTGCTGAATTTACTAGTGATTAAGATCTCCAAAACCCAAAGCGAAAAGGAGAATCCAGACTGTTAAGTCTGGATACTAAGTGTGCAGGTACCTTACTGGACTTTGCCAGACTTATTTTCCAAAGAAAAAGGAAATCCCTTTTTTAAGGGATTGGGGGCTCCCGGATAGTGCTCAGGCCACTCATTGGGGTCACTCCCAGCAATGCTTAGTAGTTCTGAAAGTTTTAATGCTAGGGCCTTGCAGAGCTGGGGGTCACTAAAGCCAAATGGAGAATCAGACAGTGCCAGTGATAGAAATGGGGTTCTTTTGCATGCGAAGAATGCACCCCTGAGCCCTGAACTATCCTTCTAGCCCCAAGGATCTTGCCTTGTTTTGGAGGGAGGCCACACTCAACAGTGCTCAGGGAGGGACTGCTCCTTGCTCTGTGCTCAGGGATCATTCCTGGCAGGGCTCAGGGAATACTATGTGGTGCTAGTGGTCCAACCAAGGTCGACTTCGTAAAAGCAAAGCACTTTAGCCCCCGTACGTCCCTCTGGTCAAAGGATCTTGTCTTTGAACAACCATAATAGCACAGAAGTTGAGGTCATGGGCCTATGCAAGGCAAGGAAATGCACCTCAGACCAAAGCATCAAAACCCAGATCGGCTTCTTCCTGCATTCTTCGGTGAAAATAGTGTCACACTGATAGGGTCAGCTCTGCTGCAGCCCTGTTTGGGTGGCAGTGGAACCTCACTCCTGTGGGAGTCAGAGTGCAGAGATAGTACCTGTGTTCTCTGGGAACTCTAATAAGGAAATATTTCTGGGTTCCCAAATAAAGCAAAATGAAAGTGTCTTGAGATTTACAACCCAAGTGTCATAAAAGCCCCAAGTGAAGTAGTACTGAGGATGAGCACTCCATCCAGAACTGCAAAGCTTTCAGAAACTTGCAGAACCAGTGGAGCACGATGAAACATCAGTAGCTGCAGCAAACAGTACAGTTTATAACCCCAAAATTTTTAGGTAATAGAAACAACAGGAGTCAGGGCAATAGTACAGTGGGTAAGACACTTGCCTTGCACCTGGCTGACCTAGGTTCAATCCCCAGCTCCCCATCTGGTCCTCCAAGTTCCTCCAAGAATTATCCCTGAGCACAAAGCCAGGAATAAGCCCTGAGCACCACGGGGTGTGACCAAAAACCTAAAAACAACCCCCCTTCCCCAGAGATTTTAAACAAAGTATTGGAAAAAGTAATTATAGAATAAAAAGAAGTGATGGTGGTAGGGGAGAGGCGTGGCAGGGACTCCCAAGCAGTGCTCAGAGGCCCGGGGTACTCAGACAACCTGGCCAGCAGTTTTCAATGCTAGAACCCAAGGATGTGGTGCTAGCTGGGGCCTGTAGTGGCAGGGACTGCCAGAGTCACGCCAGTGGTGCTGAGGCACTGGGGCCTTCAGGGCTGCCCCAGCAGTACGCTGAGAGACCATATGGTACTGGGGGCCCAACATGGGTTCAGTGTGTCTCCTGACCACTGGAAGATCTCCAGTCCCTAAGAAGAAGGGATTTTTTTTTAATGATAAAAGTTCAAAACCCTGTTATTTATCCATTTTGGTTTTGTTTTGGGGCCACCCCAGTGGTAGCTTGGGACTTACTCCTAGCTCTGTGTTCAGGGATCACTCCTGGTGGGAGCTCAGGGGACGATATGGGGTACCGGGGATCAAACCCGTATTCAAACACCCTACCCACTGTACTGTATTTCTGGCTCAAATTTATGTATTTTTAAGGGCAGTGCTGGGGAAGAGAACCCATCATATCACAAAAGCATAGGCATGTGTTTTGCCACTGAACTACATTTCTGACCTAAAATTCTATTTTTTGTTTGCTTGTTTGGGGGCCATACCTAGTGATGCTTAGGGGTTACTCCTGGCTCTGTACTTAGGAATCACTCCTGACAGGCTTAGGGGACAATATGGGATGCTGTGGATAAAACTCAGGTTGGTCATATGCAAGACAAGTACCTTGCCCACTATACTATAGCTCCAGCCCCCTAAAACTCTCAAACTATTTTTTAAAGTGTTGGACTTGGAAAACTTTTTTTGACATTTAGAAATAAAATTTAGCTGTTGAGACAGAATATTAGTAGGTTATTGCATAAGCAATTCAAAAATGCATGAAGAATTAATTAAAAAACAAACAAACCTTTGCAAAGGATTTCCCCAGAAAACAGCATAGAGATAAAGATGTGGGTGACTATTAGAAACATTAAGCTAAGTAACATTATAAGGCCCAATATGAGTTGAGCATTAAATTTAAGATATAATTAGAAGGAACCAGGAAAGAGGCAGTATTTAGAAAGATAATGAGTAACTTTTCTGCGTGTAATAAGAAATACAAAACCTTAAAACACTATGGTATAAGTAAAAATCATATTTAATACCTTCTAAATGATTTTGACATCAGTAGTAGAAGCCAAAATACGATAAAACAATATTTTCAAAGTGCTGAGGAAAAAGAAATGTCTACCTAGAATATTGTATCTTGTTAATTCAGAAGGTACATAAAACACAGACATTGTCAAACAAACAAATACCAGTAGATAAATATATATATATGTACATATCAGGTAAAAGATAACTGAAAAAATACATTTCAAGAAAAGTAATTGAATCCAGAAAATAAGACTACGATGCAAGAAGTATTGGTAAAGGAAAAAGACTAGTTAACATATGGGTAAAGTTAATCAAGCCTTGCCTTTAAATGTATAAACTGATTCCATCAAATTGATTAATTGGCAGTATAAGAATGTGAAACAGAATTATCAGTCATGTATGGTTTGAGACTAGAGATAAAGATGGGTTTTAGAATTAATATAACTGCAGTTACAATCTAAGGAGATCTGCTAAAAGACTATGGTGGGGGCATCCCAAGAAGTACTTAAGGAGACCCAAGGCCACTCAGCCTAGCAGTTCTTGCCTGTGACTCAGTGCTTGGTCCCGGGGACTTCCCAAGGAGCTGAGGGAGGGGACAAGGGAATGGGACAAGGGAATGGGGGGCCAGGTAACAACCTGGGGCTTCTTACATGCACAGTATGCACTCCCGCCCTTGTGCCATCTCCATGGTCAGCTAGGTCCAGGCCTGCTCTCCAGCCCTTGAACTGTCTTCATGGTCAGCTAGGGCAAGGCATGCATTCAGCCCTTGAGCTAGCTCCATGGTCTTCTAGGTCAGTTGATTACCATTCAAGTCAACTGGAAGAGAAAATGGGAAGAAAATTCAGTTGAATGCAAAAGAAGAAAGAAAAACCAAGTTGAGTAGAAATCAGATATTGTAGTACCTTTGGCACGTAACTTATCACAAGAAATAAGCTTAAACTCATCAGATTAATCAACTAATAGATTGTTTTTAAATCAGAACACAGTATTGGCAAGAGACACACAAAATATGGCAAAATATTGAAAGCAAAGGAATACAAAAAGTTATTTGGAAGCAGATCTTTATCAAAAGAAAGTGGGTATTAGCTACACTGAAATTAGACCTAAAAAGTATCAATGAGGTCACCATCTAATGATTTAAAGAAAAACGCAGTTTCACCAAGAAAATCAAAGTTATAAATATACATGTTCTTAAAAACTTTGCCTTGAATTACATAAAGTAAAATTTGACAGGTTTTTAAAATGACGAGGGAATCTCTTAATGAACCTTCAATAATTAAAAAGTAAGCAGATGGGGGGGAAATGGTGTGTCAATCAACAGAAACTAATCAGTAATAAGTTGGTTGATTCCTGGCACTATATATGGTCTCCAAAGCATGGTTCAGAAGTGAACCCCGTGCAGAGAACCAGGAGTAAGCACTAAGCACTGCTGGGTGCGGTATCCAACTCCTGGACACAGAAAAACAAACCTAAAAACACGGACCCATTTATGATTGCAACAAGTTTTAAACATTCATAGGAAAATGTTAGTGAGGAGCATTATATATTTATGAAGAAAAGTGAAAATTCTTTATTGAAGAAGAAACTACATTAAAGAATGCATTACAAATAGAAGATGTTATATTCATGATTGGGAAGATTCAGACAGGCCAAAGTTATTTCTGTGCATCTTTATCTGTAAATTCACTAGAATTTCTATCAAAATCTAAGTAGACCTTCTCCTTTTTTCTTCTTTTTCTTTTTTGCTTTTTGGTTTTGAGGCTACACCCGGTGGTGCTCAGGAGTTATTCCTGACTCTGCACTCAGGAATAACTTGGGCAGGCTCAAAGGACCATATGGGATGCCGGGGATCAAACCTGAGTTAGCAGGTTCCTACCCACTGTGCTATCACTTCAGCCCCCCAAGAAGACTTTTCTGTGAAGCTTGAAAAGCTGATTATGAAGTTTATTTGAAATAGTAAGGGAAAGAATAGTCAAATCAGTTTTAAAGAATAACAAAATTGGGAAATTTTATTACCAAGAGTGTATATTTACCAAGACTGTATTATTGTACAGGATCATACAGTGAGACCCGGAATGGAATAGAATATATGATACAGTTTTCAAAACTTTCTATGCAACTTTTTTTTTTAAAGAATTGATCACCCAAGAAGTTTTTATACTGCTGGAGAGGTGTACAGTTATATGCTACAACTATGCTGCTACTTTTTGGGAAGACAACAGTGTTTAATAAAGAAGATGTTTATATCTCTTGTAATACAGCTATCTTATACATATGTGTAGACAATACACCACTGTTTCTCAGTTAGGGAGTCATATCACCATTCTGTGGGCCCCCAAGATATTCTAAGGAGACCACAGGTGAAGGGTACCCTAGCATTAAGCTGGTGGACGAACAGGTAGAGAGGGTGACCACAGGGAGGGGCCACTGGAGGGGCATGGTTGAGAAACTCTGACCTAAACATACCCTCTGGCACGTGTATAAAGAAACAAGTGCAAGACTAGCCATTAAAATTCTTGAAATAAGCAACGATTTAAATTGGAAACAACCACCTGAAATGCTCATCAGAAAAGAAAGAATAAATTGTGGTATGTCCATATAATACTGTGAGCAGCTAAAACATACCACTAGCAGTTAAAATGAACTCGAACTAAATTGATCAACATGCTAAATTTCATTGACAAAAATAGAAAGTTGCCGAATGATATGTACCGTATTACATTTATATTAAAATTTTGTTGTTTTGGGGCCATATCTGGTGGTGCTCAGGGTCACTCTGGGAGGTGCTCAGGGGACCACACAGTGCTGGGGATCAACCCTGGACCTCCAGTAGGAAAACAAGTGTTCCAACCCACTGAGCTATCTCTTTGACCCTAATGTAAAACATTTCGGCATACAAATAGATATGCTAGTAAGTAAGAAAGAATAAAAGCATACGTGAGGAATGGGATAAGGGAGGCCATGAAAGGGAATTCAATTATGGAGTTTTTTTTTTTTGCCTTTTGTTTTTTAAAAAACAATCTGAAGCCAAAATGTGAAAATGTTAGGATTAACAAAATAGTTGAAACTCATTCAAAACAAACACTAGCTGAATAGCCCCTGGGTCCCCTGAGCGCTTCTGAAAGTCCCCCTGAAAATGAAAAGAAAAATTCATTAACTCTCTTTATAAATCTTATAAGCAGTCATTTAAAAACAATCATCCAAACAAGGTAGCATCTTTGGGCATTCATAGCCTCTCTCTTTGCGTCTAGGTCTGTATATTTCTGTTTCTCATCTAGGAACCGCCATCGCCTTCCCACAACTTCTTCAAAATGGGAATGAAGCTAGAAGCTGTGGACAGGAAGAACCCTCATTTCATTTGCCCAGCCACTATTGGGGAGGTGCGGGGCTCAGAGGTGCTTGTCACTTTTGATGGGTGGCGAGGGGCCTTTGACTACTGGTGCCGCTTCGACTCCCGGGACATCTTCCCTGTGGGCTGGTGTTCCTTGACTGGAGACAACCTACAGCCGCCTGGCACTAAAGGTAAAGGCCTATCTATGAGCCCTTGAAACCTGGACCCACGTTGATGCGGGAGATTCCAGAGGTCTCCTGTGGTCTCATAGCTTCACCAGTGAACCTCACTAGCAGAGGAGGAGCAAGGGCCAACAAATTCGGTAAAAACCAAAGTGTAGCCTCGAATAATCAGAAACCATAAACATTAAATGCTAACGGAGTCAAGGCATGGCATGGAGGGCAGAGTAAGCAGTTCTGACTCTGTATCCTGGTGAGTCTCAGGATGCCAGCTCCTCACGTCCCACTCTCGCTCCTTCCCATCTCACAGTTTTAGAAGTATCGTTCTCAGTGTACACATCATCCTTGGGTCTTTGGGGTCCTTTGTAAAGGAACTGGACAGACCTTGTGTTTTATTAGATTGTTGAGAAGCACAGTACCAGAATGGAAAGCTCATGGGCTTTGGAGTCAGATAGACTTTGGCTGCCTTCCCCTGTCTTTTCACCAAAGCTGTGTCACTTGGAGCAGTTAGTTACTACTTTAAACCTAAAATTCTTCATCTGTAAAAGAATACCCATTTCCTAACTTTGGCATGTGCGGAATAAATGAGATTTTTATAGATAAAATGCACACTATCTGGCAAATATCCAATGTCAAACAAATGTTTTTATTGTATTGCTGCTGCTAGTATGTAACTTATTATATCTATGTCATATTTATTATAATTACCATATAAATGTGCTATTATTGCTACTTACTGTGTTTTAATATGCTTTTTATCAGCATTATTATACTATGATAATAAAATAGCCACTACCAATTAGAAAATTTACATAACAGCACTGGAATAGCACCAGAGAGTAATTGAACAGTATCATGTTTCTAATGATGATGTTGGAGACCATCCAGGAATGAGATCGCTGCTCTTCATAGGGGAAATAATGATCATTTCATCCTCTTAAGACAAAAGATCTGGTGTGTCTGAGGGAATAGTAAGTCACCTTTCCTATTGTCTGTAGGTCTCTTTTCTAAATCAAATTCATTCATTGCCCGGCACCCCTCTCGGAGAGCCCGGCAAGCTACCGAGAGTATTCGATATGCCAGACACAGTAACAACAAAGTCTCCAATGGAGACGTTACTGGGCCCGCTTAAGCAAATCGACGATCAACTGGAGGACCTTTACCTTTACCTTTTACCTTACTCAATATTTATTTATTGAGCCCCTAATTGTTTCAGGCTGAGGCAATATCGCATAGCTGTCATTACTCCTTCCTTTTTTATTTAGGTTTTGGGGCCACCCCCAGCAGTGTTCAGGGCTTACTCCCGACTCTGCTTAGGGATCACTCCTGGCTGACTTGGGAAGTCGCAAGATGAGAATCAAACCCAGGTTGGCCATTTGCAAGGCAAGTGCCTTACTCACCATACTGTCTCTCGCCTCAGTATTTGTTTATTTTTAATGTAATTTTTAATTTTATGTATTATAGTTAGAATAGTGTTAAAGTGGTTACAATAGTGTTAAAGTTTGTAGTGTCAGTATACAAAATTACCCCACCCCACCAAAGTGCCCACAATCCTGTCATTGTGCCTGTCCATTCTTCTGGTCTTTCTCTTCCACCCACCCACTCTGCTTGGTAATTGGCTCTGTATTCCAATGCCAAGGATTTTTCCTCATTCACTACTGTCTATTCTCTTATTTTGACTGTCTAGATATGAAGATGGGAGAGATCAGCTAGTACTTGTCCTTCTCCCTCTGATTTACTCTGATTGACATGATACCTTCTAATTCCATGTTGCAGCAAACCATATGATTTGATCTGTTCTTACAGCTGCATAGTATTCCAGTATGTTTTGTGACTTCTTGATGCAGTCATTTGTAGTTGGATATTTAGGTTGTTTCAATATCCTAACTATTGTACTAAGCATTGCAATAAACATAGGTATACATATATCCTATTGAATGCAACTTTTTGTATTTTGGAATAGAAGCCAAGAAATGGAACCACTAGGTCACATGAGAGTTCTATTCTTACTTTTCTGAGAAATCTACGTATTGTTTCCCATAGAAGCTGAGCCAGATGACATTTCCACCAACCATGAATGAGGGTTTCTTCCTCAATGCATCACCACTAACACTTGTTTCAGTCTTTCTGAGATACGCTATTCTCACTGGTATGATGATATCTCATTGTATTGATTTACATTTTCCTTATAAGTGACAATGAGTCTACTAGCTGCATCTTCTTTGGTGATTTCAGATAGCTTCTCATACGGAAATAAAGTATAATAAGATAGTGACAGTGAAAGTGTTGAATAACATTGGGTTGTCCTTGCTCCTCTCGCTGGGAGTTTAGGCTTATTGAGTTACTCTCATAACAGTGCTGCCGAGGCACACCCAATTCCATCAGGTACTAATAATCCTATATTGCTTTTATCTTTATGTCCCTTTCATGGTTTGTTTAGCAATGTCCTTTTTGTATAGACCAGGAAGATAGTTGATGCCATGCTTTTGCAACATGGGAGTTAATTGACTCCAAATAATATTTACTCCTGGGCATCCATCATATTTACTTGATTTCAGCCTCAGTTGCCCTTACTTCCTAATACCTCCTAAAGGAGGGTCCCAGCGAGGGACAAGAATAGACAAGGGTAAGCTGTAGGCTACTCTGGCATCGGAAAGGGACAAGCTAAGCATCATAGAAGTATAATAAGTTAAGAGCATGGTCATGGAACAAACTGTCATAACCCAAAAAAGAAATAACTGAATAAGGACCCTGCTGGGGTTAGGAAAGACTAGCTTGTTTGAGGACTATAGTCTGGGATATATATCGAGATGTCCCCAGCAAGAGCCAACCTTTAAACTTCACTTGTATCACTTGTCACTTGTCATCCTGTTGCTCTTCAATTAGCTTGAGAGTATGCCAGTAATGTCTCCATTTGTCCCTGTTGTGTGGTAGTGTAGCCCACTGGTGTCTGCTCGCTCTAGGAACACGAAGAGCCTCAAACCGTTTGCTCAGGGTTTTGACAAAGTCTGACCATCTCGTAGGTGGGTGGCCACACGTTTTGATGTCCCATGGAATTCAGTTGGTAACAGCTCCAGCCCAGCGGTCATCTCTAAATCGTATTACTTGTCCGGCCCATTTGATTTTCTATGCCTTGGCAAACAAGACGACGTTGATGAGGACACCAACACCACTGACGCCTCTGCTGTCTGCAGTGTCAAAAACAGTGTGATGTGATCAATGCCTTCTCATCTCTGTCAACCCAGTGATGTTGTACTAAAAGTGCAGATAGCATTTTAGTCCTTCTTCTTTTTGGCAGCCTAGTTCAGCTCTGAGATTTTAGCAGTCTCTCCTTATTCATCCTTCTCGATGCTGTAGTATTGGGGCTCTTCCAGGGTCAGGGGAATGAGCCCCATTTTTGTTACTGTTTTTGGCATATGGAATATGCCACAGGTAGCTTGCCAGACTATGTTACGCTGGTGGCATGTTGTAACGATCTTCACACTGACAAACACACCATACACCTTGTGCATGGACGTGCTGCTCACTTATAGAAAGTACTGGTCAGATCGACACAGTTGATGCAAGGAGTACATCCCCGTACCTGCCTGCATCTCTGGGCAACACCTCTTGGTTCGCTCTTCGCCAGTTGGCACCATTGCCCGCGCCGTGATGAGGTGATGAACCATCAAGGTCAGTGGTCCTTCCTACTCCTCACTTATATACAATAGCTAGCCCCCTCCTTATTCCTCACTTATCTACAATTTATTAAACTTTAAGTTTAATAAAACTTTTACTGTGTGTATACAGAATGACTAGAAATATTATAAGTAAATTTACTGTGATTGTTTAAATGGATTACTAGCTGAGGAAAGGAGAAAGCAGTACACCCTAGATGGACTCCTGTCCTTGAGCAGATCTCCTAGTAATCTAAAGTGCTGAACCCTCAGTTGAGATCTCGTCCTTGAGTTAATCTCCTTGAGCTTCCCCTGAAGGAGCGGCTTTACATCTGTTTGTTTTTATGACAACGTTGAACCCCACCTATGTGTATCCCCACTCTTCATGATTTCTGTATAACTGTGCTATAAGGGGAGAGGTGGACCACCATGAGGAAGAAAAGAGAAATTATTATGTTGCAAGGGAATAGTCCAGATACTCTGGGAAGAAAGGAGGAGAAATTATTATGATGAAAGGGGAGAGACCGAACTACACTAGGGAAGAGAGAGAAATAAACTGATTACCAGCTAGCCTGGGGCCCTGTTTCTCCATTCCGCCATCCTTCTTCCCTCTGCCCACTAGGGGAATGATTCTCGACCACCAAACGTTCTAGTCCCGCAGCCCCATGCTTTCTTGAAACTCACATGAAGGTGTGTACTTGTCAGGGGAGTTTTAAAACTTAATATTTTCATTGAAATGTCCTGGACACGGACACGGTCCTCCCGTTGTTCATCGATTTGCTTGAGCGGGCCCAGTAACGACTCCATCGTGAGACTTGTTGTTACTGTGTTTGGCATATTGAAGTGTAATTGAAATTAAATGGTGCATAGTTAGTTTGAAAAATTTGGAACATGTATGCATCCATCAACCTTTACCACAATCAAAATAATGAACATATCCCCTGAATGTTTCCTTGTTATTGGTAAAGAGGGATCTTATTTAGATTACATTTCTCTTGAGGAATTTTTTTTTGAAAAGTGATACTTGAACAAGAAGGAAACAGAATTCTAAGAAGGAAGATGGGCCAGAGTGAAGTAGAAAATATCAAAATTATTTAGGACTCTAAAAGATAATTAAGGAAAACTGTTGGAGGGCATTATGTAGGAGAGTGACAAAAATATGATTGTTTCTTTAAAATTACCTGTGACTGAGAGATGTAGCTTAGACATAAAGACTGCATTTTTGAAGTCTTCGGTTCTATCCCGAGTACTTCAAGCAAAACAAAGCAAAATAATCACTTTCACTTGTATGCAGAGTACAAAAAATTATTATAATAATTAAAAAGATAACCTACTTAAAGAATGGACAAAAGGGTT